AGGATGGATGATGGATGGATGGATGATGGTTGGATGGTTGGATGGATGGATGATGGATGGATGGTTGGTTGGATGGATGGATGGATGATGGATGGATGGATGATGGTTGGATGGATGGATGATGGATGGATGGATGATGGATGGATGGTTGGATGGATGGATGATGGACGGAACATATTGATGCGATGTTGGTGAACTCGAGTGAAGTGAAGTCTCGTGTGACGTTCGATGTAAACATGTTATGAACTCGGAGAGGCTCGCTGCTTTGCTGTAGTTGTGTTGGGCATCAGCGCAGCTTTGTGATAGAAAAGCTTGAATGTTTTTCATCTTAAAGTTTTTATTAAGAGCAGAACATTATTTTCTTTGAGGTCCTGGCCCATCTAAGCTGCCTCGCAGTGGATCAGCTGTATAAAATAATTTGTGCTGGATTAACCCAGCAAACGTTCAAACTTTTGCTGATCACTTGTGCTAAAGTGGTGAAGGCTGCACAGAAGATGTTGGACTCAGTCTCCCCACCATCACAGACATCTACACCTCCAGATGCAGGAAGAGGACCACCTGCATCATGAAGGACCACACTCACCCAGCACACACACTTTTTGTCCCACTCCCCTCAGGAAGAAGGTTGAGGAGCATTAAGTGTAGAACCACTAGACTGAGGAACAGCTTCTACCCTGAGGCTGTTAGACTCATGAATCTCTAACCAGAATAGTCACTGTGAAAAACCATATCATGTTGCTGCTGATCTGTTTCATGTTGCTGCTGATCCGTTTCATGTTGCTGCTGATCTGTTTCATGTTGATGTGTTCATGCTCATCTGCTCACACAGACTCATGTTCGTGCTGCTGTTGTTCTGCACATTGTTTTATACCATCAGTGCTTAGTGTATTCTTAGTTCATGTCTTGGATCTTGTCACTGGTTTTCTTTACAGTTATACTTTTGGTGGATGTAACTGGGACTCTGTGCACCGTTTCGTTCCACCACATGAGATGCAAACAACAAATAAATAAAGAAAGTTTGACTTTGACTTTTGACTTAAAGACGGCTTTCCTCTCAGGTCTGCCAGCGTGACCACCCTGTCTCTGGATCGCTCCGGGACCGCCCTGGTTCCGTCCTACGACAGTTCAGTCAGCCCGCCAACCAGCAGAGCCATGTCGGGGACCAAGAGCAGCACCAAGCTGGACCACAGTGAGGAAGAGAGGAAGATCTTGCTGGTAGTTTGGTCTTCATTTTAGGCCGTTTGTCACAGTAAACACATTTACACGAACATGCCAAAGATGGATCACTGAGGAGCTTCTCCACAATCCCATCTGTGTCTGTAGGAACGTTGGATGATTTGGAGCCTAAGCACCCTTAGGGTCTAGTGTTACCCGACCATGGCTTTCATGGTAGAATGAAATGGTTTACGATGCACAAACTGGCCACACGGCTCTAGTTGCCTGGTCACAAACGCTGAATGTTCAGTGAGACTACGATGGAAAATTCAACTACCGGTATTTTTATCCCTCTAAATTGAAAATACTGTCCGTGCATTTTATGAGCACGATAACTTGAATATCCATTTAAGTGTGTGGCTACATCTAGGCCCAAGAAAGTTCTTTTGAAAAGTGGGTTGCCAAGTCAAAATCCAAGATGGCTGCCACCACACATATATATGTAAACTGACTACCCATATAATTTGAGGAAACTATGCTTTCTTAGTTTTTATTTTATTTATATACTCAAATAATTGTTAGGCTGATGGTCCTCCTCGATCATGTGAACAGCTGGTTCTGGATGTCAACAAACTGGTTGATCCACCATGAGAAGGTGCCATTTATAAGACTGAGTTTGTTGCAGCTCCTCAGGCTGAAGAAGTGTCTTGGTTAAAAGATGAAATGTTTCAACAAGAAGAATCTGTCCAGAGGACCTGACTCCACCTGTTCAGATGCATCTACCTGGATTACTGAGCAGCATCAGGATCAGTGCGACTCATCCACTTGATTATGTTGCAGCAAACATTAAGGCTTACTAGCATCATCTGTTCATTCCCAGTCCAGAAAAACACTAACCTTCAAAACTACAACCATTCACTGTTCAGCTCCCTCAGAGATGGGGGACACTGTAGTTCCTCTTGTTCCACATTGTGTTCCACAGTTTCAGCCCAGTGAGATGCCACCTCACTTTTCACTGATCTGAACAGTGACCATCTTTCAGGATTCCTCCCACCTGAAGGACTTGTGGAAGAAAATCTGCCACAACAACACGGGGATGGAGTTCCAGGACCACCGATACTGGCTCAGGACTTATCCAAACTGCATTGTGGGAAAGGAACTTGTCAACTGGCTGCTGAGGAACGGTACCATCTCCACCAGGTACACATTCATTCATTCAGCCTTTATTTATACAGGTTAGTCTCACTGAGCCTCGAGGACTCTTTTACAGGAGAGACCTGTGTGTGTGTGTGTGTGTTGGCGCTTTATGAATGGACAAAGGAAAGAACACTTGTTGACTTTTTATAAGAGCTTCTACACATTAAACAGCTGTTGGATTAAAACAATCCAAGTGTCTGTCTTCATCAGCTGCATTCAGCTGAAACAAACAAGATTAAAACCCAACAGTCCTTAAAACGATGCATGTACCAGTAACCCCCACCTTCAGTTCACGTCATTTATATAGTTCCAAGTCTCAGTAGAAGTCATCTCAGGGCACTGAACAGAAACATTCAAATGCATAAAAAGTAAGTTCCTTTCACGCCAGAGAATTTTATTCTTGTTAGAAAATGAGTTACAGACATTTTGGTCAAAGCTTGAAAATGATGCACGAGTTCTCAGGCGATCTTGTCAAAAACCAGCCAGTAGGGAGCACAGCCCAGTCTCTGGTTCTGGTCCCAAGCCCGGGTAAATGGTTAGGGTTGTGTCAGGAACAGCATCCAACGTAAAACACTTTTGCCAAAACCATAACGCGAGTTCATCAAAGTGAAACCATACTGGATCGGTTGAGGCCTGAGTTAACAACGACCGCCACCAGTGCTGTTGACAAACAGGGTGCCGGAGGAAATTGAGCTGCTGTTAGTTGAAGACCACGAGGAGGGAAACGTGTCAGGAGACAGAGGAGAAGAGGAAAGTGAAGAATGTAGGACTGAGGGTTGCAACTCTAAATGTGGGGACAATGACAGGCAAAGGTAGAGAGCTGGCTGACATGATGCTGAGAAGGAAGGTAGATGTTTTATGTGTCCAAGAAACCAAGTGGAAGGGCAGCAAGGCTCACAGCACTGGAGCAGGGTTCAAACTGTTTTACCATGGTGTGGATAGAAAGAGAGAAGGAGTAGGGGTGGTCCTGAAGGAGGAGTTGACAAAGAATGTAGTAGAGGTGAAAAGAGTGTCAGATAGTGTGATGTGTCTGAAGGTTGAAGTAGAAGGTCTGATGCTAAATGTTGTCAGTGGTTATGCTCCACAGGTTGGATGTGATGTGGAGGAGAAAGATACATTTAGGAAAGATCTGGATGAAGAGATATAATATTTGGGAATAGCAAAATTTCTCTTTACTGTTCACTTCAGAGAGTGGTGAATGCATCCAACCATCCATCCATTCATATATCCATCCATCCAATTATCCATTCATACATCATCCATCCATCCATCCATCCATCCATCCATGTCTGAACCACCTCAACTGGCTCCTTTCGATGTGGAGGAGCAGTGGTTCTACTCAGTCTCTTCTGGATGACTGCATTAAAAATCCAAACACTTAGAAAATGTTTTTGTCTTTAAATAACACCCTTATAAAGTTTTATCCAAGCAGAATGGAGGAAAATATTTTTGCATAACATTTACACAAACATTTTTTCACTTCAAAAGCTCAATAGATTGTTCATCTGCAGCAGATAATCTTGTTTCCGCTGACATTTCGATTTGCCTCATTTCGAAGGAGTAAAAACTCAGAATGATGTTTGTGATGAAGCTTGTGCTTGGTCTCTGCAGGGCCCAGGCTATAGCCATCGGCCAGGCGTTGGTGGACGGTCGCTGGCTCGACTGTCTCACTCACCACGACCAGCTGTTCAGGGACGAGTATGCTCTTTACCGCCCCCTCCAGGTGAGCGTCCTCCACTGCAAGCACAAACCGAGAACCCACAGCACGCTTCACCACGTTACAAGTCGATGGCTCTGTTTTCTCATCGAGCTTTGGTCAAATAATTCTGTGCCTGCGTCTGCTCCTCAGAGCACAGAATTCTCCGAAACACCGTCTCCAGACAGCGACAGCATCAACTCCATCGAGGGACACTCTGAGCCGTCTTGGTTCAAGGACATAAAGTTTGATGACAGCGACTCAGAGCAGCTCATAGAAGAGTCCGACTACACGATGCCCAGTACGCCTGTTGTCTCCAGAGTTAATGAAAACGTTGTGAGCGTCGGCACATGAACCTTTGTCTCTGCTCAGACTCTGCCAGCCCCAGTAAGAGGACATCAGTCAGCAGCTTCCAGTCTGCGGTGGACAGCGACTCTGCCGCCTCCATCAACCTCAACATGGAGCAGAACAACGTGAACTTTCACATCAGGAAGCAGTCCAAATACCCACACGTGCCCCCTGCCCCCGAGCACAAAGGTACGCTTCACACATGAGGATCTGTGCATGGGTTACTCCTACAGCCTGCACACGCTGAGGGACTGAAGAGTCTACAGCAGGGGGGTCCAGTCCTGGTCCTGGAGGGACACTGTCCTGCACATTTTAACAGCCTTCTGCACAACTTGAAGAGCTGCTTGTACCATTGAACCAGGTGTGTTGGATGGTGGTCCTCCAGGACCAGGACTGGACACCCCTGGTCTTCAGTACAACTCAGAGACGTCAATGACCGTTGTCGGTCCTGGTCTGGGCTTCAGCTTCCTGTCTTCTCTCTTTATCCAACTCTTCCTGATCTTTAGGAAACCCGCTGCCATCATGGCTCCTTCAGTCAGAACTAAACACCTGCACCTGGGCTACGTACGAAACGGTCCCAACAAGAACCGATTTACTGTCAACGTCCATCAAGGACTAAGGGCTAGGTATCCCCCACATTTCTCTGGTTGGAACCAAACCAGCAGGTCCTGGTTTAGGAAAACTGTCATGCTGCATCTTTCCAACCAGAGTCTGTGCAGGTGGAATGTGGGGATTGTACAAAACTTTACTTAATCTCCAAAATAGTGTTCAGATTAGCATCATGCCACGACTGCAGTTTTCTGAATATGTTTGTAGAATAAAAGAAATGTTTACCGGTAGTTAAAGTTCATATTCAGAGAATTCAGCATCAGTGGGCATTGAATGTAGAACATGTGAACATAGGACCACCACTGCATCTCTACCTTTAAGTCTTTATTTTGTCAAAATGTGAGCGATGCAGTCGGGAGTTTCTCTTTCCTGGAACTGGAAACACCGTTTGTCCGTCCAGCCGTGCACGTTGTGAACATAACTTGAAGAATAAGTGAGGTACCGACTCCCAGTTTGGTGTGTGGCAGCATCTAGGCGCAGTGTTTCCCTTATCATTATTCAAGGAGGGTGCCCCGCCCTGTCAACAGAACGGAGCACCCTGCCTAGTAAATTGACCCCCCCACCTCCACCCCCACCCCAGCAACAACTGATGGCACTGACTTAGTGCTTAGCTAGCAGCTTGCAATGCAGACACGCTAGCTAAGAAGCAACAGACATAGCGTTCCACTTCTCTTGCTCTCTCCACCACCCCCTCCCCCGGTCAACAACTGCCGGCTCTAATGTAGCGCAACTGTTTTCCAACCCCCCCATCGACAAAAGTCTCCTAAGACATGAGAACGTCCTGCCAAGGACCTCGGGGAAACACCCACCGAGGTGTAAGAAAGGTTCCTCTGAAAATTGGGTTGCCACGTCAAAATCCAAAATGGCCACCACCATATATGCATATAAACCGACACGCCGATCATTTGAGGAAACTACGCTTTCTTGATTTTGTTTTGCTTAAAAGTGTATTTTCCTCAAATGACGGGTGGCCAAAGGTTAATCTATGGGGGCCAAGACCACCGTTGGCCACCCCCTGGCTCTGCCTCTGTGCAGGTAAAAACTGTAATAAACACATAATTTTTTTAGGTAATTAGGAGTTTCCACGTGTCACGCCATCAACTTGCAGTAAACCAGAGAAACGACATATTACATATTACCGTGACGAACGTTTCTGATCATTTCCTGCTTGTTTTACTTTGAGTAGCTTCTCTAACAACCAGCAAACTGTCTGAACAGAGTTTCTCGTGTCGGAGGACGGAGGACAGAACATCGTCATCAGCGACGCCTTCATCAAAGGTAGGAGCCGACCTGTGCCGCCTCGGTTCGACCCCTAACGACCTCTTCTTCCTGACGCGCTGCTCCCGCCTCAGAGTCTTTGTTCAACCGCCGTGTGGAGGAGAAGGCCAAGGAGATGCTGTTCACGCCGCTGGGCTGGCACCACAGCTCCCTGGAGCAGCTCCGAGAGGAGAACGGGGAGAAGAAGGCCATGGAGCGACTGCTGTGAGTCCCGCCGAGCCTCCGTCTGAATGCCGTGAATGTCGGGCAGCAGCTTAGCGTCACAAACCGTCTCCACTTCCAGTCCTTCTGCAACAAGCAGAACATCACGTTCATTTATGTGTTCCTGCTTCCATCACCAAACACCCATTACATGTTGATCAGCTGCCAAATGACGTGCACAAGGCTCAGTTTTTACATTTGTGTCCACGTCGCGAAGGAAAGAGAAGGAATTAGAACTACCGTCCGTGCACGTTGTGAGCGTGACTTGAAAAATAAGAGAGGTACCAGCTTCCATTTTGGTGTGTGGCTGCGTCCAGGAGTAAGATTCGTCACCATCAACAATTGGATTGCCAGGTTAAAATCCAAAATGGCTGCCGCCATGTAAACTGGCCAACCCATCGTCTGTGGAAACTGTTTCATAGTTTTTTCTAACGGAGAACGGACTGGACCTCTACAGATCCTGTCTCCCTCATCCAGACACTCGAAGCTCTTTACAACAACCTGTGCCTCATGTACCCGTTCATACAGCTCTCTACTATAACCAGAGCTTTATCACATTCAGACACCGGCGGGACACACATCGGAGGCAATGAGGGGTTCAGTGTCTTGCTCAGGGACACTTCAGCATGTGACTGCTGGTGGAATTGAACCGTCAACTCTTGCATTGGAGGACGACTGCTCTAACCAGTCAGCCACAGCCGCTCCTCAAATGACTGGGGAGACCAAAGATTACTCTTTGGGGTTCACGGCCTCCATTGGCCACCCTCTGGCTCCTCCCCTGCTGCAGGTGGAGGATAAAAACCCTTCTGTTCTCCACAGTGTAACGACTCCACTTGAATATGTTGCAACAACAAAAACATTTAGGTTTACGGTCACGGCTCTAACCCCTCGGACGTTGGAGTGCCGCAGGTTGTTTTAAATGTTTGGTCTCACATGAACCCCTCTTTGATTTAAGTGTTGCTTTATTTGCTTTAGTGCAGGGGTGTCGAACTCACTTACAACTGGGGGCCAAAATTAAAACCTTTTTCAAACGAAGGGCCAGTTTCAGATTCTACATGAACTCAAGTTAGATACTCGGCATCTTTTCTTGGCTGCAGGTTCCACAACAAGAGTTTGATTGGTCTCATTCGATGTTCTCTGTTGCACTTTTGACATCATAATCAAAGATTACTGAAAAAATTAAGGTGATTAAGGTATTTTACATTTAACACATCATCTTGAGGGCCAGATGAGATGTCCAGGGCCACATTTGGCCCCCGGGCCTTGAGGTTGACACATGTGAATCGTCTCAAACCGTCCTGTGACGGTGCGTTCCTCCATCGGCTGCGTATTGATCTATAATGATTTTGTTCTTCCAGCTCCGCCAACCACAGCCACATGATGGCGCTGCTGCAGCAGCTGCTCTACAGCCAGTCCCTGTCCCTGTCCTGGAGGGACATCATCGTCCCCGTGGTCCGGCAGGTCGTCCAGACGGTCCGACCCGACGTCCGCAGCTGCGACGACGACATGGACATCCGTCAGCTGGTGCACATTAAAAAGGTGAGCCGGCGCCGCCGGGCCGCTCCGCAGACCTCCCATGTCAAGGAAGCGGGTGGAGGACGCAGAATCGCTCGTGTCTGTTTGTGTTTCAGATCCCCGGAGGCAAGAAGTTCGACTCCATGTTGGTCAACGGCTTCGTCTGCACCAAGAACATCGCCCACAAGAAGGTAGCTGCGCTCCGTCCTCCACCGGTTTGACTCACTGCTCTGCTGCTCACGGAGCAGTCGGGGAAACGAAGCTAAAACCCTCCAGCTCATCTGCGGGGAGTGGACGTAAATGTTTTTAATTCACTCTCACTGAGGTCCGTTTTTCAAGAGGGGGGGTGGTGGTGCAGAGGTTAGAGAAGGTGGGCCTCTGATCAGAAGGTCGCCGGTTCAACTGTCCGGACAAACAACATCAAAATGTGGGTGAGAAAAGGTGAAGCGCCCACACCTGCCTCCACCCTCATTTCGCACCCTGGGCCCTTGAGCAAGGCCGTTGACCCCCACCATCTGCTCCCCGGGAGCCCAAGATGTCGGCTCTCTGCTCCACACAGAGGCTGCGGTAGCTCGGTGTCTGTGTTGATCAGGAAGGACTCGGAGTGAAAACGGTCGTCTTGGTCCCGTGTGGAACCCCTGAACAAGGAGCAGCCGAAAGAAGAAAAACCTGACATCTGTTTTTCGTAACTCGTTCCTCAGTTTTTGTTTCATTTCAACTCTTCATGAATCAAAACGTTCGGCTCATTCAGACAGCCCAGCTTCCACTTCTGGTTGTGCATTTTAACTTTTTGAAATATTTAGCTTTGTCGGCCATGTTTTTTTCATTGAAAAAGAGCACATCCTTCAAACCCTTTAGCTGTTTGAAACCTTTTACTGCTTATTTCAGCTTCTTTGTGCTCATTTTAGCTTTTGTTCTGGTTCAGCTTTGTTCAGCTGTTTTGCTCTTTTCAGATTCCTTTTGATACATTCGGCTTGTTAGGCTACATTTTAGCTGTTTTTCTGCTCTGTTCTGCTTTCAGCAAACGCCGGCTGTTCACATTCAGCTCATGCTAACAGTTTAGCCATAAACCCTTTTCGGCTGGTTTCAGCAGAACTCCCTCTCGCTGCTTTTCTCAGGAAGTGACATTTTTCTGCTTCATTTAAAGAGTTTGTGGCTCGTCGGGACCCGGAGCTCGGTCCTGGTCCAGTCTCACAAACGATTCTGATGCTTTTTTATTTAGACCAGTTCTGGACTGTCCCGAGAACGTAACCCGTGAGTTTCTGGGACCTCAGCCGACGCTTCATTCTGGGTCCTCCGCCGGGATTTTCACCAGATCTGGACAGAACCATGGGAGAACACAACCGTTTCATCATTTGCTCCTTATTTTTATTTTACTCTTACATATTCTGTGTGCTGCGGCTGACGCTCCTCCTCTGCTGAACAAGTTTCTTCTCTGGGAGCTACAAAGGTTTTCAGCCGGTCTTCGTCACGTCCCTCCTGTCGGGTTCATGCATCTATTTTATTTGTAACAAAAGTACGATTTATTTCCCTCTCTCTGGTTTGGAAGACATTTTATTTCTTCATTTATTGCTCGTACAAAACTGAAGAATGTGTCCAAGACAAATGTATTTGATTTCTTGAAAACGTGTTCAGCCACAGCGCCCCTTCGTTTTCAGACCTCACATTTATTACGTTTATTTTTTCAGTCTTTTATCTTTAAGGCCTGTTTTCAAAATAAACTGCTGCTTGGCTCTAAACCTGTTGGTCGTCAGTTGAGTTGGATTTTATTGAGGCTGTTCTGACAGTTCTCGTGTGGCCCCAGATGAACCCGTACATCAAGAACCCCAGGGTCCTGCTGCTCAAGTGTCCCATCGAGTACCTGTACAGGGAGGAGACCAAGTTCACCTGCATCGAGCCCATCGTGCTGCAGGTGAGCCGCTCGGCCCGCCGCCGCCGCAGGACGCCCGCCGCTCTCAGACTCACGTGTCGTCTCTGCCGTCCTGCAGGAGCGCGAGTTCCTGAGGAACTACGTGCAGCGCATCGTCGACGTGCGCCCCAACCTGGTGCTGGTGGAGAAGACCGTGTCCCGGATCGCTCAGGACCTGCTGCTGGAGCACGGCATCACGCTGGTCATCAACGTCAAACCGGTGCGTGGACGAGTCCGAGTCCTTCACTCATTCATTTGTTCATTCGTGTGTTTGTTTGTTTGTTCATTCGTTCATTCATTCGTTTGTTTGTTCTTTTGTTCATTCATTTGTTCATTTGTTCGTTCGTTCGTTCTTTCGTTCGTTTGTTTGTTCTTTCGTTCATTCATTTGTTCATTTGTTC